TGCCCTGGACGACCGGCTCGGACCGGATAGCGGCTGCGCTCAGGGACCACCCCTTGCGCACCTCCTATGGTGTCTGGAAAGTGCCACACCTGCAGTGCCCTGGACGACGGGCTCGGATAGCGGCCGCGCTCAGGGACCACCCCCTGCGCACCCCCTGCGGTGTCGGGAAATGCCACTCCTGCTATGCCCTGCTCGGACGACGCTCGGATAGCGGCCGCGCTCAGGGACCACCTCCTGCGCAGCCCCTATCGTGTCGAGAAAGTGCCACTCCTGCCATGCCCTGGACGACGGGCTCGGATAGCGCGCTCGGGGACCACCCCCTGCGCACCCCCTACGGTGTCGGGAAATGCCACTCCTGCCATGCCTTGGACGACGGGTTCGGATAGCGGCCGCGCTCAGGGACTACCCCCTGCGCACCCCCTACGGTGTCGGGAAATGCTACTCCTGCCATGCCCTGGACGACGGGCTCGGATAGCGGCCGCGCTCAGGGACCACCCCTTGCGCACCCCCTACGGTGTCGGGAAATGCCACTCCTGCTATGCCCTGGACGACCGGCTCGGATAGCGGCCGCGCTCAGGGACCACCCCCTGCGCACCCCCTACGGTGTCGGGAAATGCCACTCCTGCTATGCCCTGGACGACCGGCTCGGATAGCGGCCGCGCTCAGGGACCACCCCCTGCGCACCCCCTACGGTGTCGGGAAATGCCACTCCTGCTATGCCCTGGACGACCGGCTCGGATAGCGGCCGCGCTCAGGGACCACCCCCTGCGCACCCCCTACGGTGTCGGGAAATGCCACTCCTGCTATGCCCTGGACGACCGGCTCGGATAGCGGCCGCGCTCAGGGACCACCCCCTGCGCACCCCCTACGGTGTCGGGAAATGCCACTCCTGCTATGCCCTGGACGACCGGCTCGGATAGCGGCCGCGCTCAGGGACCACCCCCTGCGCACCCCCTACGGTGTCGGGAAATGCCACTCCTGCTATGCCCTGGACGACCAGCTCGGATAGCGGCCGCGCTCAGGGACCACCCCTTGCGCACCCCCTACGGTATCGGGAAATGCCACTCCTGCTATGCCCTGGACGACCGGCTCGGATAGCGGCCGCGCTCAGGGACGACCCCTTGCGCACCCCCTACGGTGTCGGGAAATGCCACTCCTGCTATGCCCTGGGCGACCGGCTCGGATAGCGGCCGCGCTCAGGGACGACTCCTTGCGCACCCCCTACGGTGTCGGGAAATGCCACTCCTGCTATGCCCTGGACGACCGCTTTGGACGACCTGAGCTGTGCTGTGGTGTGCTGTGCCGATCTGAGCTGTGCTGTGCTGTGCTGAGCTGAGCTGAGCTGTGCTGTGCTATGCTGTGCTGAGCTGAGCTGAGCTGTGATGAGCTGTGCTGAGCAGTGCAGTGCTGTGCTGAGCAGTGTTGTGCTGTGCTGTGCTGCGCTGTGTGAGAAAGGGAGGAGGGAGGTGAGGTGAGTGAGCGCGGGTGGACACGGCAGAGAAGAAAACCATAATTCCACTAAGCATGTGGGGAAGTAGGGTAGGGTAGAGTACAATAGAGTAGGGCTGAACAGACCAGAGGAGGGTAGCGCTGTGCAGATGGTCGAGTGAAGTCGGGAATAACTGAGTTCAATAGAACAGGGGAGATTAGAGTACAATAGAGTAGAGTAGAGTAGAGTAGGATAGAGTAGAGAAAGACTAGGAGTAGATTGGAATAGAGTGGAGTAGAGTAGAGTAGAACTAGAGCAGAGTATGACAGGGAACTGTAGTGTAGCGTAGTATACGTTAGGGCACCGTAGGGTAAGCTAAGGCAAGGTAGGGTAGAATGGAACAGAGTCGAGAGTAGGGATGATGGCGGAGTAGAATTGGGTATAATACAGATTTGGCCCCTGTGGAGCTGGACACCGGAGAGCCTGCTGCCGGCGGTGAGGGCGCAACGCCAGCGGCCGATGCCGGCGAAGCAGCGCCAGTGCCGCCCCTTGTGGTCCCAGGGCCCCAGGGGTTGTTCGACGTGGTCATCCCTACCGACTTCGTCGCGCGTGTTGACTCGCTGCCCAGGTCGAGCCTGGTGCACATCCCAGTGGCAGTCAGGGCCGAGGTAATTCTGATCCCTGCGGCCAATCTGGAGTCCGCTGCGCGCGGGCATGCGCGGGGGGCCCTCCGCCAGAGAGTCGCGCCGAAGCTCCTGGTGGCGCCAGTCCCGCCCTGTGAGCGAGTCGCTGCGGAGACATTTGCACGCATGCGGCTGTGTCACCATGGTTCCCTCGAGGAGCTGCTAGGCCGGATGGAGGTGCAGGATCAGCGGCGCGCGAGCAACCCGCAGGCTTGCGCGAACGGAGCGCAGCGCTGGCGCTGGGTGCGCCGTTTAGCACGGGAGGGGGCCTACAACAAGGCCGTTAGCTCCGTGCTCACCGCCATGGCGCAGCTCACAGCCACGGAGTAGCGGGAGTGGGCCGAGCAGCTCCTGCCAACGAGCCAAGCTCCAGCGGACGCGCTGGCACCAGCCGCCGAGACGGGCGAGGCGGCGGAGGAGGGGCCGCCAGCGGCTAGCCGTCGATGCTGTACACGATGTGTTTCGGGGCGTTCGCTTCTCGCCTCTGAGTGCTCTGGGCCCTAGTGGGCGTCGGCCTGAACACTTCAAGGGTATAGCAGGTGTGCGCAGGCACAGGGTTGGCCGCCGTTTCCAGCGGGCGCTCGCGGCCTTCCACATCGCCGCCGTCGACGGGATCCTGCACGATGAGTGCCGGTGGATTCTTGACAGCGGGTTCATCTGCCCGAAGAAAAAGAGGTCAATTGTGCCGCGGCCTGTGCGCATCGGGAAGGCTAGGAGAGGGAGGAGGAGGAGGAGGAGAAGGAGGAGGAGGAGGAGGAGGAGAAGGAGGAGGAGGAGCTGTGCGGCGCTCCGTTGGCAAGGCGACCTGCAGGCGGCACGCGGAGCAGGTTCGGGCTCGGCTCCTGAGGCGCCGCCAGGTGGGGGTCGCGGTGCCAGGCGCTTGCGAGGGCCTCGTGCACGCGCAGCGGGCTGCCGAGGCGCTTCTCCGGACAGTTACGTACGGCTCTTGGGTGGTCGCCGACTTCGACTTGGTGAATTGTTTCTGTCACTTCGAGTGGCCAGCAGTGCGTTCAAGCACGGCCCGCACGGCGGCCATCACCCCTGCCCTGGAGTCGTGGTTGGCGTGGTGCACGCGGCAGCCCGTTTGAGTGCACCTCCCTTTGGCGAGTGGAGGAGCCTCGACCGTGGGGTCGAGCAGGACGACCCCGAGGGAAGCTTCAAGAGCTCCGCTGTCTTGGCTGCGAGAAGACGGCCGCGGCGTTCGCCACCGCAGTCGTCCCTGAGGCTGGCGGGGCGGTGGTGGACTGGTGGTATATCGACGATGGCCGATTGCTAGTCCAGGCCCCTTACTGCGACCAGTGGTTGCGCATCTTGGACAACGAGCCCGCGAAGGTAGGCACCACGAGGGTTGCGGCGGACGGCACCATCAAGAGCTCTGCCCAGCTGTTGGGGGGTTGGGGGGGGCGGCGAGGCCAGCGCCGACCCGGCGTGCCCATGGGCCGGTGGATACGCCTGCTCGACGTACAAGCTCTCCCCCGATACAGAGTCCATCGATTACCTCGGTGCCACTATGGCAGCTGCGGGAGGCGAGCAGTTCGACTCTGCGGATGCCGCCGCCAAGGTCCGAGCAGTTTCGCGAGGCCTTGGCTGACCTCGACGACGCGGCCGTGGAGACAGTCCTGCTGCGCCAGACCGCGGGCGCATGTCGGGTGACACGCTGGCGGCGCCAGCACTAGATGAACAGGACCTGTGTCTACGGCGTGGCCTCGAGCAGAGCGTCGGCGGCGCCATCGATGAGTGGCGCCGGGCGAAAGTGGGATGCAGACAGGCCGGCCTTACCGCGGAGGCCCCCCCGGCCGATGACGTGGGTTGGAAAAATAGTAGAGTAGAGAAGAGTAGAGTGGAGTAGAGTAGAGGAGAGTAGAGAGTTGTAGAGTGGAATAGAAAAGAGTAGAGTAGAGTAGAGTAGGACTAGGAGTAGAGTGGAGTAGAGTGGAGTAGACCGGAGTAGAAGTAGAGCAGAGTATGGTAGGGAACCGTAGTGTAGTGTAGTGTAGTGTTAGGGCATGGTAAGTCAGGGTAAGGCAACGTAGGATAGAATAGAGCAGAGTCGAGTAGAGTAGGGATGATAGCCGAGAGGAGTCGGGCATCATACAATAAGACGGAGTATGATCGGGAAGACAAGAGCAGAGTATATGATTTAATATACCGGCATGCCATGTACTGCGAGTTTAGCGGCATGGGAGTAGCATCGGAGTAGAGTAGGAGTGGAGGTAGGAGTAGGACTAGAGCAGACTAGAGTAGTCTCGGGTGGGGAAGAGTAGGGTAGAGTAGAGCAGAGTATGCTAGAGAATGGTCGGGTAGGTGGTAGCGTAGAGGCGGGTCTACTGGGGTGTGAGTAGGCAGAGGGTCCATCCCAGACCCGTCCAGTCTAGTTACTTCTTTCCAGTCTACTTCAGTCCATTTCAATACATGTCGTGTCAGCCTTAGCCATCTGATCTATCTGGAAGCTGCGCCGGCTGATTTTTGTTGTGTGCTTTGTTGTGTTTCTGTTGCGTTTCTAGCCGTCTGCTGCCCGTCGTCGTCGTCGTCGTCGTCGTCGTCGTCGTCGTCGTTGTCGCCCTTGCAATTCATGAGGGGGGACCCGGTTCGACCCCCCCTCCTTACAGGTCAAGGGGGGACCCCCCCCTTCCTCAAAGTTAGACCCCCCCCGTTGGACACAGTGGGGCGGCGGTTCGACCCCCCCCCGCCCCTTGGAGGGGTAGGTGGCCGGTCCCAGGGGCCGGTGTCCGGGTGGCGGGACTGGTGCCGACGACAACGACGTCGATGTCGATTATGATGACAGCGGCGACAACGGCGACGACGCTGGCGCGGGCGGCGTCGACGGCGGCGGCGACGGCGACGGCGGCAGCGGCCAGAGCGACGGTGGCGGCGACGGTGGCGGCGAGGTGTTGGCCGGCGTGCTGGACGGCTCGGACGGCCTGCCGGCTGCGGCGTTGTCCTCCCTGCTGCTGGAGTTGTCCCCGCAGCGGTCGTCACTCGGGGCGATTCGGCCACGTGCAGAGGGGGTGGGGGGAGGGGGGAGGGCTTCGTAGAAGCACGCCTGCTTCTTAGAAGGCGCGGCCAGTATCTATAGATGTTAGGTCGGCGCCTTCTAAGAAGCAGTCTCCTGCTAAGAAGCCCCCCCCTCCCTCCACCCCCGTGTGCGCGCCGCCAAGCGATTGAATTGGCTACGGAAACAACGGGCACAAAGTCCAGCATCAGGTCTTGTCAATTCGGAGCGGGGTTCCCTGTCGGCGAGGCCGCAGCAGTTGTCCATTTGAGGCAGGAGGCCGCCTGCTCAGCGGCGGCCGTTGTCGGTTTTCGGCAACGTTTGTGGTTGGGCGTCATGCCCATCTTTCCGTGCCCATTTCGGACGTCCAGAGCCGCTCGTTGGCGAAAAACATAACCGCATGCCGATGAGAATAAAGTACCCCCCCCCTTAAGTCGTTAGAGTTTTTTATCGTCGACCAATAAGAGTTTGGTCGGGGGCGCGGGGGCGCGGAGGCCGAACTTCATTATCACGGGAAAAGTTCGCCATCGAAGTTACTTCCTTCTTATGTTGAGATAACAACATCAAGCGAAGCGAACACGTTGTTTCAGGATGTCTCAAGCGAAACCAATGTCCTTCTGTCTCTTTGTAGTTCTTTCTGTCTCTCTTTCTTTCTTTCTCTGTCTCTCTTTCTCTCTCTCTCTCTGTCTCTCTATCTCTTTCTCCTTCCTGGCCTCTCTGTCTCTCTCTCTCTCTGTCTCTCTATCTCTTTCTCCTCCTCCTCCCCCTGGCGCCCTGAACTTGTTTATCGCTGGGGTTGATTATCCAGGGAAACGAGGCACGTGAGCTACCCTACACGAGCACTTAAAACATTTAATGTTCATAAAGCGCTTGTAAATAAAATTTAATGCATTTGAATCTTCATATTTTTTGTTTTATCCTCCTTTCCTCTTCTCTGTATCCTTTTCATTTATTGTTATACTTTTCTTTTTAAATATGTATTCTCTATGTAAGTCCTTCATTTCGTTTTCTTTATGATGTATCTCTCTTTCTCTCTCTCTCTCTTTCTCTCTCTCTCTCTCTGTGCCCCCCCCCCTTCTGAACTTTTTTATCCCTGGGGTTGATTATCCATGGAAAATGAAGCACATGAGCTACCCTACACGAGCACTTAAAAATTTTAATTTTCATAAAGCGCTTGTAAATAAAATCTAATACATTTGAACTTGAGATTTTTCCTTCTCTTTATCCTCCTCCTCTGTGTTCTTTTCTTTTTGGTTATTTTCCTTTTTCTTGTTCATTTCTTGTTGTTTCTATTTATTTCAGTTTTATATATCGCTTTCTCCATTCCTCCGCCCGCCTGAACTTTATTATCGCCGCGGTTGATTATCCAGGGACACCGAGGCGGATGAGCTATTCCGAGGATGTCTCAAGCGAAACAAGCATGTATTCGAGGATGTCTCAAGCGAAACAAGCATATACTGAAGGATGTCTCAAGCGAAACGATACGTTTCTTAAGCGAAATAAGCCATAGTTTGACGGTGTCTCAAGCGAAATAAGCAATAGTTTGTGGATGTCTCAAGCGAAACAAGGGATTTGTCGAGGATGTCTCCAGCGCGATAAGCCATTGTTGAGGATATTTCTATGAAGACTAACGCCAAGGATGTGTCAAAACGTGCTCGGCTTGGTCTCCTCTTGATCATCTCTTACTTCGAGATTATGCTGAGGTCTGGTGGGCTACTTTGATTATCTCCCCCTGAACCCCGAACTTTATTATCCCCTAGTGTTTATTCTCGAAGGTATTCGGTTATCCGTATTCGCGGTCTCGCGGGCCAGGCCCCTGGGACGCGACCTTGCAGACACGACACGTTTTTTTGTCCGCGGATGCCCCGCGCGGACCGTGTCCGTGCGACCGCGTATCCGCGGACGGAGGGACCGTGAGGGAGCGGATACGGACATGTGCGCCGCTCGTGGGTCGCCCTGAATAGGAGGGGGACCCAAGGGAAAGGACAGGGCGGAGGCGGGTAACGGTTAACGTCATGTTTCGCGCCAGCGCTGTCTGGGCTTAGGAAGTGCTAGTTCCCAGACGGCGCTGGCGGGAGTCGCAGCGTGGCCAGGAGGGTGGGGGGTTGTGGCCAGCGACGGGCGTTCTCGTGGGCCCAGGGGCCGTGAAGCCGGTTCCCCGGGAAAGCCCTCGGCAGGGCAACGTTGGGAAGGGGGCGGCTCAGGGGGGGGACGCATCGACCCCCAATCGCCCACCCCGCCCAGGACTTTGCCGCTTCGCTATCAGGGGCCTATCGCCGATCCGTCGGCAGTGTGTCGTCGTGCCGATTCCAAGCCGAGGTTGCCTACCCTTGGGCTGGTCCCCCCTATCCTTCCCCCCCGCCTGCGTCCAGGTCCCACTTCGCTTACTGTTGAGAGTTTTGGCTCAGCGTGTCGCGCTGCCAGCTCTTCCTACCACGCTTCGGCGCGACACACTGCCCACGTCCTACGCCTTGGTCACCGAGCGCCAACGCCCCGAGCCGTTTCCCAGCCTCCCGAGACGCGGAGCGCAGCGGCATGCTGTCCGCTTGCACGGGGTAGCCCGTCGACGGGGTTCCGCCGTCGCGATACGCGAAGCAAACGCTCCTGGCTGTAGGACCCGTGTCCCCCCATGCCCAGGTCAGGCTCGCTCGCCCGCGGACTGGCGCGCCGCGTGGGGGCTAAAGCGACGTCGTCGTCGTTGTCGTCGTCGTCATCGTCGTTGTCGTCGCCTCTGCTGCTCTGTCCTCATTCTCGTCGTCGTCGCCGTCGGCCTCTGGATTGTCTTGCTCCAAGTGGTCGGCCTGCGGAGACTTCGGAAGTCGTCGCTGCCGCCCCCGCCGCCGTCGTCGTCTTCGGCGCGGATTGCGAGTCGAGCGTCCAGGTGTTTGAGTCTCTTTTGGGGCACAAGAACCTGGACGCTGGACAATATTTGTCCTGCCCCCCCCCGTCGCGAGGGCTTGGTCCGCCTTGGAATCCTGGTCAGAACGCGCTCCAGGAAGGGTCCGCAGAGTCGCCGTCGTCGGTCGCCGTTGCTTCCGCCGTCGTCGAGGGTCGAGCACCAAGCCTCCTCCTCCTCCTTCTCTTCCTCCTTCTCGTCCTTCTCATCCTCATCCTCCTTCTCTTCCACCCTATTCCTTCTTCTCCTCCCTCCTCCTTCCTTCTTCTTCTTCTTCATCCTCCGTCCTCCTTTTCATCCTTGGGGGAGCCCCCCCCCGTCCCCCCTCATTCCTCCTCCATCCTCCTCTCTGATCCCCCATCCGCTTCCTCATCCTGTCTCCTCCCGCCGCTCCCTCCTCCTTCTTGTTCTCCTGGTCCGTGTCGTCCCTTCCTCCTCCCACCAGGGCGGGGGATTTGTTGCCTACTACCAAAATCACCAGCTTTAGCCCTCTGGGGGTCCGTTTGGTCGGGGAGCCTCCGTATAAAGCGTTACCTAAGAAGCACGAAACCACAATTGGATTGACACATGCCACGCGATGCAACCGTCATGGTTGATACCTGCTTTTTGTTTCACCCCTAATTATACAGAGGCCCCCAGGCCAGCAGCTCAGGGATGTGGATATCCATTCAGTGGGAATTTCATGTCTCTCGTTTGGAGCTGAAGCATCCACTACGATGACCCTCCCTCCCATTCACAGTGACAGACGAACACCTACACCGTCTCTCTCTCTCTCTCTCTCTCTCGCCCGTTCTCTCGGTCTTTCTGTCTGTCTCTCTTTATGTCCGTATGGCTGTCTGTCTGTCTGTGTGTCTCCTCCGCCCTCGCGTTCTTGATTTCTCTCTCTCCCTCTCACTCTCTCTCTCTGCGTTTCTGTGTTGATGTCATCATTGTATCATTGTCCTGGGCTGTTGTTGTATATGTATACAGATATGGGAGCTACTCGTTTGGTTCCGTTCAGGAAGTTTTGTCTTGGAGTGTTCCCGGGTCGCCCGGCCGGTGCCGGGCGGCATTGTGGCGGTAAGAACGAATGCCGGAGGAGAGGAGGAGGAGGAGGAGGAGGAGGAGGAACGCCGGGCACCGTCTCTTCAAAACGAGGACCCAACACCACAGGATGGTTGGGAAAAAACAGAATTTGAAATCCACACGCATTGGGTAGAGTTTTACAAGCGATTTCTTTGCCACAGTTGTGCCCTCCTGGGTACTCATGCTTCCGCGAATGCGAACACATGCGGTGTTGCGGCTGCCAGGCGATGAAGCACGAGGACGACAGTTGTCTGTGAGCCCGAAGACAACAGTTCGGCATCCGCACGTAGTGGCTCAAATGTTGCCATCGGTCTCTTGGCCAAGGTTTCACCTTCCTGGGCGCGCATGCTCTCAATTCAGAAATTCTACGGTTCTCGTGAGCGCCAGGCGATGAGGCGCGAGGACCGACATGGTCTATGATACAAAGAAACATCACTATGACATCCACATGTATTGGCTAGAACCATACCGTCGATTTCGTTTCCAAATTTCCGCCCTCCTGGGTACGCATGCTTCCGCGAATGCGAACACATGCGGTTTTGCGGCTGCCAGGCGATGAAGCACGAGGACGACAGTTGTCTGTGAGCCCGAAGACAACAGTTCGGCATCCGCACGTAGTGGCTCGAATGTTGCCATCGGTCTCTTGGCCAAGGTTTCACCTTCCTGGGCGCGCATGCTCGCAATTCAGAAATCCTACGGTTCTCGTGAGTCCCAGGCGATGAGGCGCGAGGACCGACATGGTCTATGATACAAAAACATCACTATGACATCCACATGTATTGGCTAGAACCATACCGTCGATTTCGTTTCCAAATTTCCGCCCTCCTGGGTACGCATGCGACCGCGAATGCGAACACACACGGTGCTGCGATTGCCAGACGGCAAGGCGCGAGTACTAAAGCTGCTTGTGAGGCGAAACACACAAATTGAGATCCACATGTACCAGCTCGAACTTCACCATCGATTTCTTGCCAACATGTCTGCCCTCTTGAGTGCGCATGCTTTCGCAGTTATGAGCACATTTTTCCCTACCTAGGCTCTGCCTAGAAGGGTTCTTACCGTCTAGCTTAAAGGGGCCGGGCAGTGGACCCCGCTCCGGGGGGTTCCCCCGGCATCCGCCCCGCGGTTTCCCCAGTTACGTCCCTTTAGCTTTACAGTTGCTCATCTCATCTTAGCTTAGCTTATTTCATCTTAGCTTAGCTTAGCTTCATCTTAGCTCAGGTTTATCTTAGCTTAGCTTACCTTCATCTTAGCTTCGCTGAGCTTTAGCATAGCAGAGCACAGCATAGCATAGCGTAGCATAACATAGCGCAGCATAGCATATCATAGCATAGCCCAGCAAACATACCATAACGCAGCATAGAATAGCATAACATAGCATAGCACAGCGCAGCATAGCATAGCATAGCATAGCATAGCGCAGCATAGCATGGCATAGCATAGCATAGCATAGCATAGCAACTAATGCTGCTTTCCTGAGGGGCTCCAACTTCTAGGTAGGGTCGCACTGGGGCAATCTTGTTGTGCTATTGTCAGACGATGGGGCGCGCTGGCAAGCATGGTTTTGATTCAAAAGACAACCATTGAAATTCACATGTATTGGCTGGAAATTTGCCAGTGCTTCTCGTGCTACATGTCCGCTTTCCTGGGCGCGCATGCTTCCGCACATTCGAAAACCTACGGCTGCGTCGTAGCCAAACCATGAGGCGCGAAGGCCAAACCTGTTTGTGATGCAAACAAATGTAATCCGCATGCATTTGGTTAGAATTTTACTAACGACCACCTGGCCGCATTCCCGCTCTCCTGGGAGCGCGTGTGTTCCTGTGCGTCTGTTTATTTCCAGAAAAGGCCGGATTTTCAGGCAGGGGCTATGAGGCTCCAACAGACGATGTAGGTTTAGGGCATGGGTGCGAAGAACAATTTAAACCGCCCAGACCTGTCACCAGCCTGTAGCGGGAGGATCTGCATTGGATCTCAATTGGGTTCCAATAGCTCTTTTTGGATACCACAAGGATAGCAATAGGAGGCCAATCGGGGCACACTATGAGTCAAAGAGGACACGTGATTGTTGGGTTACAGTTGTTTCCTGGTGGGATCCCAGCAGTATGCCCGCATGGGTCGAGAAGGAAGGATTCTGATTGTATTTCAATGCGATATCCTTCGCATTCGCCAGTGTGGTTCTGATGGGATTCCAAGAAGGACGCATCCTATTGTTTTCGAGTGAGTACCCACAAGAATACCCACCAGGTTTCCATATAGTACCCCCAGTGCGTGTCCCGCAACATTCTAGTAGGAAGGTTTCTCGACTGTAATCCCTTGGGGGTTCCAATCAGTTTCCCTTAGAGAGGGCCCCAACGGGTTTCAATAGGAAGCGCCCCCTTCGGATTCTAATAAGACACCCGTAGGCCCCATACAGAAGAATCTTGCTGGATACCCATGAATGGTATTCATCTGGTGCCAACAGGATCCCAGAGGGAAGGGTGCCACTAGGATTTCAATATGAATATTGTCACAGATTCTCGTTTCAGGCAGGTCACTTTACCTCCGACACGCTTCAGAGAGGGAAGTGTCTTCCTTACTTGGACCCACGGAGATTTCGGAAATTAAACAACATGTGTCGCTCACGTGCGTTTACTCTCCTGGTTGTAAAGTGACCTTCTTGATTGTAAAGTGCCCTTGTGGGAAAACCCATGCCGGTTGTAAAGTGCCCCATCTGGCTGTAAAGTAACCGGTCTGGTTGCAATGTGACCCACACGCGTGACGCACGTGGGCGGTGGCATTGGGGCCTTCGGTGGAGCTCCTTATGTAGCCACGAAGCGTCTAGAGGTGGGCCGAAATTTCTGGGGGAGACGCATGTGGACGGTGGCACTGGGGCCGTCGGTGGAGCTCCCCATGAGGCCACGAAGCGTGTGAGGGGTGTGCCGAAGTGGGTGTGGGGGGGGTGGGGGGGTGACGCACGTGAACGGTGGAACTGGGGCCTTCGGTGGAGCTGTCTATGGAGCACGAAGCGCGGGAGGGGTGCGTCGGAGTGTGTGGGGGGGACGCGTGTGGACGGTGGCACTGGGGCTTTCGGCGGAACTCCCTATGGAGCCACGAAACGTGTAAGGGGCGCGGCGAAGTGAGCGGGGGGACGCATGTGGACGGTGGCATTGGGGCTTTCGGTGGAATTCCCCATGGGGCCACGACGCGTGTGAGGGGTGTGCCGAAGTGGGTGGAGGGGACGTATGTGGACGGTGGCATTTGGGCCTTCGGTGGAGCTCCTTACGCGGCCATGAGGGGTATGCAATGATGATGATGATGATGATGATGATGATGATGATGCTGATGCTGATGCTGATGCTGATGCTGGTGCTGATGATGATTATAGTGCTGATAATGTTGATGATGACGATGATGATGATAGTGACGGCGATGATCCTGGTGATGACGATGCTGATGTTGTTGATGATGATGTTGATGCTGCTGATGATGAGTATCATGATGATGATGATTATTGTGGTGCTGCTGAAGATGGTGCTGCTGAAGATGATGATAATGATGGTGACGATGTTGATGAGTATGATGATGTTGAGGTTGCTGATGATGAGGATTATGTTGCTGATGATGATGGTGATGATGGTGATGCTGATGACGATGATGATGATGCGAGGAGGAAGGAGGGGAGAAGGAAGGAAGGACAGAAGGAAGGAACGCGGAGACTGTCTCTTCAAAACGAGGACCCAGCACCACAGGATGTTAGGGAATACGCGTGACGAAGTCCACGCGCGCGCCGTCGCGCGCGCGCATGCCGAAATCCTCCAGCAGCTTCATGTTTCCCAACGAGTCGAAGATCGAGCTTCCTGTTAACATAATAACAGCAAGTGGTGTTGCAATGTGCGTTTTCAAGAACACGGGCGAACTTTTCTGAATTCTGAAGGAATCATCACGTTTCATCAGTTTGATCACATGCGACCCAACTGGCCTCTCCATCGGCGCCGTCATTAGCCTTGCGATCGTCATTTTCATGATCGTCACCACCATCATCACCGTGTCAGCCGTTGCGGGCGTCGCCGCAGCGATGCGCCAGCCAGCGCCAACCAGTCTTCGCAATCGTTGCCGCATGGGTTTTGCACACTACAATGCGGGTGGGTGGGTGGGGTGATTGTGCGAGCAGCGGGGTTGACAATTCGAAGTTTGGCAGGTTGAAGTGCAACACGTAGAGTGCACCACGTATGGTGCATTCCGTAGATTACGCAACATGGGTTGCACAACATTTGTTGCATAACACATCATGCTAGAGCGCACCTTGTTCTTGGTCCACATTGGTTAACATGTGCATATATATATACACATGGATATCCCCTCCTCTGATTTCGGTTTGGGGAACACAAAAGGGGCCTGCCCAGGGGGACCGCCTAGTATCACCCAGCGCGACCGCTGAAATTGCAAGGGCGCTTACTCTCTCGTCCATGACACGGTTATTAGCTCGCCCGAGGTCCCCCGATTTCCCACCTCTCACTCGAGGTGTGCCGCACGCTACGCAGCCTCGAACTTCGGAGCGCTTCACTCTCGATCAACGACCTCGTGAGCTCGATGCTGTTGCAGGGCCGGACCAGCAGCGAGGAAGTGGGATCCATCGGCACGGCTCCGGATGAGCTTGAGGCACTTGGGCATGAGACAGTATCGTCAAAATCGTCCCCCGTCCCACCGTGACATGGTGAGATATTTCTCCCAGCGTACACCCTCTTGGTTGGGATGGGCGCCGCGAAACCCGAGGGAGACAGCATCCATCCCCATTTTAGGGGCAGGGGGGGTACCAGATAAGTTGAGGCTTCCCTAGTGGGGGTGGGGCTACTTATAGGTCACTGCGTTGCCCAGACTCAAGACAGATCCAAGTTGCCTTCGGCCCATCCCGCCACCGTGCCCGGGCTGTTCTAGGCTTCCCAGATGGGGTCGGAGTAGATGGGGTCGGAGGATCGCGCCGCATCGCCGATGCATCGGCGACGCGGCTCGATGTGGAGCCCGATTTTCTCCACGCCGTCGTCGCCGATGCATTGTCGCCGTTGCTGGTACATCGTCGATGCATCGGCGATGCGGCGCGCTCTTCCGACCCCATCTGGGAGGCCTTCTCAGTTGTGGTCCAAAAGTGGCGCAGCGGGATCGGATCAGGGCCACCAACGTATTCCCAGCCGCCCTCTTGGAGGGCCCCTGCGGAGGGCTTCCAAGGGGCATGGTCTTGGGACTTTTCTTTTACCGGCTCCAGGGTAACACGAGCTCGCCCCCCCCAGACACCCCCACCCGTGAGGAGAACGCCTGGGAACCGCCTTGGCGGCGTATCGGGCCATCTTGGAGGCATGTTGTGGGCATTTGGGGGAGATCTTGCTCCGTCGTTTGGAGCCCTATGTGTCCAACAGCGTGAGATGCCAAACGCATTGGAACACAACTGTTCGGGGGTCGTCTTGGATTGGTTCAACTTCAGGGTGAATTGGGCCGTCTTGCTGGCCACCTGGGAGAGCTTCGAGGTATCTTCTCGTAGATTGCAGGCACCGTGGGCCGTGCTGGAGGCAAACTTGGGCGTTCTTAGGGGGCATTTTAGGCCCAGATGGGAACGGATAATGTAGGCAGCGATTGTGATTGGAGGGTTTGATGCTGTCATGCCAAAATGGGGCGGCGAATCTAGGACACATCGAGCGAGTCACCACCGCCCGACTTGTCTTGTTTGGTGGGTCCACATGCTGCAGAAACGCGAGGGAATGCTTCGTGGTGCAGTCGTTCCTTGTGTTTTGGCCTCTTTGGCTCTGTCGAGGGCTTCTGGGGCCTTTCGAGGCCACATTCGGGAGCGGGCTTTGGGGGAGGGCGTCTCGGGCCATCTTGGGGGGTCTCAAGGGCAGTCCAGGCGACGATGGCCAGATCGCTGGTGGATCGGCTCTGGGTAACAAAATCAATCAGGAACTCTTCTCTGGCACGACCAAGCCACCCAGAAACCAGAGCACGGAATGCGGCGGCTATCGAGAGGCCTCCCTTCACTGCCACCGCCCCGCCAGGGATCGAGAAGTAAACGTCCAAGAGCTCATCGTTGTTTGGCAGGGGTCGTGGTCGGGGAGTCGGGCTCCATCGCCCGTGGGCCGTTACCGCGGGACGACAGTTCCGTGGTGTGTATGGTGGCATGCGGCACGGAGGCCCCGCGGGGGCGAGAGCCCAGCGCACCGTGCGCAGGGACGTGGCCCTGGGAGCGAAAGAAAGCCCCGCAGGCGGTCATGGGCATAGTGCACGAGCTCTTCGCGATCAGCCCCACGCTTGTCACCAAAGCGCTGCCGAACCTGCGCGACGACCTCCGCAGTCCCGAGAGGCTGCGGCGACTTCTGGCCACGCGCTGCGTCGGCCGCATGCTCTCGCAGTTCCACGTCTCAGGTGCCCCCCCCCCCCCCCGAGGGAATCTTGACATCGTGGCGTCGTGAACAGAAGCACGACGAAAGGTGCGTTTGGCAATGTTCGGCTTCCGGGAGCCCCTGCCAGGCCCTGAGACTGTCAGAAAACGACTCGGGATGGAAGGCTGGTCCTTGGAAAGGGGTCCTGATCCTCTGCGGAGCTATGCTATGGAAAAAGGTTGCGACGTCGGTTGGGGTCGTTCCAAGCCCCGGCAAGATATCCAATCCGAGTGGTCTGCCATTCCAGACGATGACTCATGGGATTCGATACGGAGGGGGCGTTCGTTACGGCATGTGCCCCGGAGGCGTCAGACCCTGGAGGGTTCCTTGTCTCATGAGGGCGGCGGTGATAGCCAGACCAAGCCTCATTGGTGATCCACAGGCTTCCAAACTCTGGATTCCTCATTCGAGGGTGCGCTAGAACCCCGTGGGCAGTGGAGTAGTTTCGCTTGTTAGCCATAACGTTGCGAGGTCAGTGCTCTCCTTCGGATCTGGACCCCATGAGCAAGAAAGGAAGAAAGGCTGCCCTATCCAATGCCCCCACAGTAGGCTGTCCGTCCGCAGTGCCGAAGCATCCGCTCGGGACGGGGAGCGCGCCCCCATCGGGAGAGGCCGACCCCTCGGATCTCACCTCTTCCTGGGGAACCGTCGTCGCCGCTGCCGTCGCCGCCACTGAAGTCGTCGGCGTCTCCGTCGTGCCCGGTGCCTTTGGCGTCGCCGTTGTCGCTGAGGTCGTCCTCGTCGCCGCCGCCGCTCGTCGCCGCTGAAGTCGTCGTGGCGTGGCGGCGTGGTGGCCGTCCGCGGGGCCCCAGCCCCGACCGCCTCCGGGCACCGGGGGCCACCCATGGGGCAGACGCAGGAGCACGCCGGGGGGGAGGCCTGTCCCACACGGGGAGCGTCTGGCCACCTCTGGTCAAGCTTCGGTCGCGGGCGTCCTACAGGAGGGTGATGACTGGGGGCGGGGTGTAATGGCCGGGGCCATGATTTCTCCCCGGGCTTCATCCTCCTCTCACGTATTCCAAGAAATGCGCATTTCTGATCCAGGGTAGTGCAGACCCCAAGAGAACTCTTATCGTGTGTTACCTTTTGTCGGGCAGAGCTCTCCCCACGACGCTGGCGAGCTGCACACCGTACGTGTCCCTGAGATCTCGTCGGCGCCCCGTGAGGGATGGCCTCGGCGTCTGGTGTTCTGCCTTTGGGAGGTGCATCCGTGGTCGAGCGACCCCTGTGCGAGACCTACCCGCTTTTGTTGGACAGCCATCTCGACCGCTTGGACGATGCAGATGAGGAGGTACGCCTTGCGGCGCTGGAGGCCCGGGGCCCAACGACATGCACCACCAGTGCCCCCCTCCCCCCCTGCCAGGAAAGGGGAGGAAAAGAAGGGGAGGGGGGCAGGGAGTGTGTATGATTTTTGGGCCCCTTCTTGAGGGAGCTGGCGCCATCATCAGCGCAGCTTGTTCCTTGGGAGCCAGCGTCGTGTTCAATGCTGAGGTCTCTCGCGGAGGTGGCGCCGCCGTCGCCAAGGCCGCAGAGTCGTACCGAGAGGCCGTTGTCGGCCACTACCTCGACCCGAGCGATACGGTGCGTTTCCGCCTCATCCAGATTGCAAGGGATATCGCTTTGGCGTCGGAGGCTGGGTATGAGTTTCTCGCGCCAGTGCTTCCCAACATATTCGGACGCATACTGGACAAACGGGCAGACATTCGTGAAGAGTCTGCGGACGCGGCTGCTCGCTTGTATGGAAAGTATGCTGTCCCTGCACTCACCACCTGCCAATACAAGGTAGCAGAAAGGCTTGCGTGGGTCCCTCAGCTAATCTGCGAAGCATTCTCGGTGTTCGCTGGCGGCCGTCTTGGCCACACTGCGCGATTGGAAGAACACATCGAGCAGCACTTGCTGGGTAGCAGCGCTGGTCTTGAGGCCCCCAAGCGCGCGTTGACACTTGCCGGTTTCTACTGCTTCGCGTCCAGACACTCGACATCACGCAAAGGCCTCATGACTCTCCTGAGCCGCAAGCTTAGAGTGATACCCGTCCCTGTCGATCTTGCCGCTACTGCCAGCGAGGTTTGAGTTCGCCGCCTGCATTGCGAATCCCAAACAAACAATGGTGGACCTTGTGTGCTAGGTGTACATTCAGATTATGCGCCGTTTTCTTTTGCGTCCAAGATGTATGTCCATATCCACCGCGACTTGGATGTCAGGCATCTTCTCCTAAGCAGTCATGGACCTCAAACAGTGTGGGCTTGCATACTCTGCGATATGCTATGTGCGATGCAGCCTACGCGGTGCAATCTATGCACTGCCATCCATGCAGAGCCCATCAATGCGGGGCAATGAGCCGAAATGCAATCCATGCGGTGCAATCTGAAATCGCACCACATTGGTTGCACAAGGTTATTAGGTGTTATACCCCTCTGTGTTATGCAAAGTCAGGTTGCGCTAAAATATGCGATACGATGCTGTAGTAAGCTGTGTTATGTTATGCTGTGCGAGTGGACGAGTACGAGTGGACGAGAGCAAGGGCCGGCGACGGATGGTGGCGATGGGCTGCGACGAGCCAGCCAGACCAGCACTGAGGCCCGGCCACCTTGGAGCATAAGACAAACCTTTCCCGACAAACATTGCATTGGGAAGTAGACGCATTGGATATAGATAAATTTGGCCTCGAGTGATACATGATGTTTTGTACAGGTCCACTGCGTCTATGGCTTTTGGTATCCCTTCCCCTAAGCATCCGAGACGCCGTGTATCTGATAATAGCAGCTGAGAGACCGAGATCTGTACCTCCACTTTGACTCACGATCGCTGTCTTCTCTCTCCAGATGGTCAGAACGTCGGCGTGCGGACTGGAGGGGCAGGTCAGGGCGCGCGGGTGGGCGTCTGCTTTGACATGGCCATATTTTTGTCCGCGTATTCTGGAAGGGGCAATCGTCCCCTCCTCTTGGATCCGCGGGGAGGGGGCTGGACACGTGCTATCGGAACGGGTGGAGGGTGAGGACGAGGGGGAGGAGGAGGAGGAGGAGGAGGAGGAGGAGGAGGAGGAGGAGGAGGAGGAGGAGGAGGAGAAGGAGGATTAGGAGAGGGAAAAGGAGGAGGAGGAGGAGGTGGAGGAGAAGGAGGATGAGGAGAGTGAGGAGGAGGAGGTGGAGGAGGAGGGAGGAGGAGGAGGAGGAGGAGGTAGAGGAGGAGGAGGAGGAGGAGGAGCAGGAGGAGGAGGACGGGGGCGGATGGGCAAGCTCCGTCGGAAGGTCGATCCCCCCTTCCTTGATACATCCCCCATGCAGAGTACGCGGGGGCTCCTACGGGCGGGAGGCTCCCGCTACCAGGATCGTCCCCTTCGAGGTCGCGCCCGCCTTCCTGTGTTGTACAGTCGAGTTCGATTAGCAGGTCGACCCTGCCAAATCAAGGGTACCCTCGTGTCCTGTCTTTCGCGACCTTTGACTTCCACATTCCTGTGGCAGTGAGGCCCTCGGAAGAGTCTCGTGTCCTCTCTTGGCATGGGGGGAAACGGGTCTTGCGGGAAACGGGCCCTGGGCCACGGGGCCTTCCCCCAGGACGGGTGTTTCCTCCTGGGCCGTGCTCAGACCGTCTCGGGGCCGCGGAGGGCTCCGAGCTCCGGGAGCCCGGACACGGCGAAACACCTCAGGACCACTGGGACCCGCTTCTCCCAAGGCGACTCTTGCGTGTCCTCTCCGACCGAACTCACCACCCACCAAACCACCCCAACCCAACCCGAAAGCTCAAATTTACCGTCGATTTCCAGTGGGGGGGGGTCGGGGAACATCGAAAAAACACGCGTGGAACCCTTACCCCCCCCAACCCGAAATTCGGGTCTTCGGGTTGGGTTGGGGTGGTCTGGTAGGTAGTCACGAACTCCACTGCGTGTGGGCGGCGTTCGCGCTGATTGCTTCTGGGTCATCACGTCGACCCCCAGAAGTCTCGACCCATTCCCCCGGCACGGCTTCTCATCCCGAGTCGCCTTGGGACGCTCCCGGGGGCCTGGCAGGGGCTCCCCGGGGAGGCCCATGCCTGCGGCGTGACTTGCTCGTGACTCGAGGGGGTCTGGGCCTCCCCCCCGCGCGTCGACGCTGATGTGCCTCCCACCCCGAGACCCCCCCCCCCTCCCTGCCGCCGAGGCCGCAAGCGGGAGGCCCACGCCGCGCTCCGGCAGTTCCTGCGCCTGCGCGCCGCGAAGGCGGCCCCGCTGCTGGAGTTCTCCGCCCCGGCCGGCGGCGGCGCGGAGGTCGCGCCCTCGGACGCCGAGGACTGGCTGGGCGGGAGCGGGGGAGGTAAAACGACGCGAAGATCGGGACAAAATCGGATCGGGATAACTCGAAATCTCTGAGAATCGGCGGGTTTGGAGGATGTATTGGGCGCCGCGGCCGCTCCAGAGCGTTCCGGAACGCTCTGAGAGCGCTCCAGAACGCTCTGGAGCGAATTATCCCGATCCTAGCCCTGTTTTAGGAGGAGGAGGCACCCATACCGCTGCCCTTGCCTCGTTGTCGCCTCCTCTGCGGCCCCCCGGGAGGCCCCGCGTCGCCACAGCCGGATCTTCGCCTCGAGATCCTGGTCAGAGCGCGCCCCAGGCCGTGGCGCAGCGAGATCGGTACCTCGGGGCTTCCCCAGGGAGGATCGCCATGGGGGTAACGGTTCCGGAGGGAGAGGGGCCCTGATGGTTTTCGCAGTTTTCAGGCTCTTGGGGCCCTCCACGGGTCCCGGGACTGTGAGAAAGCGGCTCAGGAGGAAGCACTCGTCCTGGGGGAAGGCCCCGGGATCCAGGACCCATTTCCCATAGTACCCGTATCCCCCATGCTATAGGAGGAGGAGGAGGAGGCGGAGGAGGAGGAGGAGGAGGAGGCGGAGGAGGAGGAGGAGGAGGCGGAGGAGGAGGAGGAGGAGGAGGAGGAGGAGGAGGAGGAGGAGGAGGAGGAGGAGGAGGAGGAGAGGAGAGGAGGAGGAGGGGGAGGGGGAGGAGGAGGAGGAGGAGGAAGAAGAGGGGGGGATGGAGCGCCAGCGCCGCCCCTGAAGCCATCGGGACGCGCGGGGGGACCCGGATTGTTTCGGCTACGCGTCAGAGTGGCCTTTTTCGCCGGAGTGACCTTCGGGCCGGGCGAAAGGGGGGGATTGGGAAAGGGGGGGTTACGAAATTTGCTGCATGCAGCTGGTTTCGGCCTCACCGAGGGGCCCATTCCTCGATACATGGTCGCCTCCGGCGCCGAGAGGCGCCGGGAAAATCAGCTACGTGGGCTGATTCTCAAACCCCCCCTTTGCTATCCCCCCCTTTCGCCCTACCCGAGACCTGCAAGGGTCCCCCGGCACTAGTCTGCGCGCTTGGGTTTGGGCTCCACGTGGCCCCCCTGATGCCGCGCACCAGAGGTCACTCGTGTCTGGGGCCTCTCGTGTGCCTGGCCGAATGGGATGCCGGATTTTTCCTGTCGCGATCGATGCCAACCGATCGGCACTCCAAATCGGTCGCGAGCGATTGCGACCGATTCCAAAATTGGCTGCGACCTGTCGCGACCAATCTCGACCGATGGGTCGCGACTGCCCGTCGTCTGGGCCGTGCGGTCGGTCTGGCGGCAATGCCGTCGCCGTCGACGCCCCGTCGCCGCGTCGTCGCCGCCCATCGCTTGGGCTTTCTTGCGCACTGCAATCCAATCTGTTGCAACGCAATCTATTGCAATCCAATCGATTGCAATCGATTGTTGTAAACCATAGGTTCTCAGTACTAAAATGAGAACAGACTCTCCCGCCTTCCGGATTATCCGTTCCTCTTTTCGTATTCCAAGTAATTTATGATTATGGCCCATCGTCCATCTTAAGTATAAGTTCGCACCATTCCATCCGAGCCGGTATGCCCCCCCGCCATCGTTTTCAAAGAATACTATGCGCACGCACTCGTTGATTCCCCAGTCAGTGCTTGCGCTGAAGGGGTCTTACCGGAAGTTGAAAGATTTGGCGAAAGTTTCCCGCCGATCTTGGTAGCAAGCTGGGTTCCCGGGTTCCCGGTTATTGGTTCCAGGCCGATTTCGGTGGGTTCTGGGTTCTTGGGCTCCCGGGCTCCCGGTCGATCTTCTCAGCGAAAACCATCCACTGATTGGGGCTTTTCTCTGGTGGAATCAAGAATCACCAGTTGTCACGAATCTCTCGTGGAAAAAAGAAGTACACACGCGCGCGTCGTCGCGCGCGCATGCCGAAATCACTTTAAAAACCATGGAGTCCGTAAGGGTTTCAAAATCAAGTGTCCACTGGGCATACAAAAGCACAGGATTTCGGAGCATGATTGTTCAAAAAAAGTTTGCGCGCGCGTTCTTGCGAATTCTTGAGAGATCCATCGATTGTTCATCCTTCTCAGAGCATGCTACGAAACGGACTTCGCGCGCGCATGTCGAAATCGTTCAAACGCCATTGCGCGCGTGCCGTCGCGAGAATCCTTTGCACAAACATGAGACGAAGTGCACGCGCGCGCGCGTCTTTGCGCGCGCACGCCGGAATCAGTCAAAAACCTTCGGTTGCTATCAAAACCGAGTGTCCAAAAACAGTTATATATATATACATATGGTTTCGCAACAACAGTTTTCGAAAAAGCGTGCGCTCGCGCTTTTGCGGATACTACGGAACACCATAGGTGTTTCAGCATGATCGTGGACTTCTGCCTTCTGCCAAGCGGTCCTCTGGCGCCGCGTCGTAGCGCGCGCGTGCCGAAATCTGTCAAAAGCCTCGCCCGCGCTGGCCGGGCCTTCGTCGTTGTCAACATCGTCACCAGCATCGCAGTAATCATTATCGTGTCAACCGTCGTCGCCACGGCCACGTCGGCCGCGCCAAACTAGCTGGCCGCTGCGCGCGCGTGCGTGGGTTGGCGCGGCCGCAGAGATGCACCAGCCCGCGCCAAGCATGCATCTCAATCGCGCGCGTGTTGGGGGAGCACGGTCCGTACCATGCGGGCCACTCTCACGCGTCGGCCGCGCGCACATGTCGAACTCTTTCTAAAAACCTTCATCACTGTCGCGAGGACGCCGTCATCGTCGTCAGCGTGATCAGCATCGGCGTCCGCACTGGCCGTACTTTCGTCTTTGTTAACATCGTCACCAGCATCGTTATCATCATCCGGTCTACCGTTGCCGTCGTTGCCACGATACCGCGCCCGCCCAAGTCGCCGACTCGCAGTGAAGTGCCCTCTGGGATATGGTAGCGCCACCGCGTTCGCGTCGGCAGCTCCCAACTATCTGGCGGATGCGCGCGCGAGTTTGGGTTGGCGCGGACGCAGAGATGCACCAGCCAACGCCAAGCAACATCGCAATTGCCACCGCACGGGTTTTGCAAACCAAGTTGCGGGTGGGTGGGTGGGTCGGATGTTTGCAAGAATATGGGATGCGTCAGGTCGCTTGTTGAAATAAATTGAACCACGTAGATTGCACCACGTGGGTTGCACAACGTAGATCGCACCACGAACAATGCAGCACGTCGATCGCCCCACGTAGGTTGCGAACCACATAAATTGCACATGAAAGGTTGCACCACGTAGATTTCATACTATAGAACGCACCATGGTAATTGCCCCACGAAAAGTGCATCATATAGTTTGCACCACATCGGGTGCTCTACAGGGATGACGCAAATAGATTGCGCCACGTAGACCGCACCACGCCGATTCTCCCTTTTTTTCCAAACAAATAAAAAATAAAACTCTACCCCCCCCCGGACTTCACGTTTCTCCCTGGAATAGTATAATTTCATATGTATATATATATATATATATATATATGTATATATATATATATATATATATTCCGCACACTCGTCCAGCAAAAATATGAAATCATATCATCCCGGCCAGGCCGGTTTCCCCCCCCTGAGGTTCCCTTTGTAAAAACACTATGCAGTGACATTTTTTGTTCTAGCAACACTTTTTCACAAATCCCTTGCAGAAAATGAGACGAAGTGCGCACGCGCGCGTCGTCGCGCGTGCATGCCGGAATCGGAATCCTTCACAAACCTTCGGTGCGGGAAGGATTTCGCAATCGAGCTTCCAGAACACATTCAAAAACACAGGGTTTCGCAACACAGGGTTGCTAAAACAACTTCCGCGGCAGCTCTTGCGAAATCTTAAGAAAACCATAGTTTGTTTTCAAGATTTCCACAAAATTCTACCAAACGGGCATCGCGCGCGCTCATGTCGAAATCTGTAAAACGCCCTTTGCGCGTGTGCCGTCGCGAGATTCCCATGCAACAAATGGGACGAAGTGCAGACGCGCGCGTCGTCGCGCGCGTATGCGGAAAACCTTCAAAACCCATCGGTTTCGGAAGGATGTCAAAATCGTGTGTCCAAAAAACCATACACAAGGTTTCGCAACACGGATTTTCAACAAAAGCGAGCGCGCGCGCTTTTGCGTCGTCGTCGTCGTCGCCGTCCTCCCTCCTCCCGCGTCGTTGTCGTCGTCGTCGTCGCCTACGTCGTCCTCTGTCTTTCCTCGTGTTCGTCGTCGTCGTCCTCTTTGGCGTCGTGGTCGTTTCCGTCGTCGTTGTCGCCGTGGTCGTCCTTCCTCCTCCTCCCTCGTCGTCGTCGTCGTCCGTCGTCGGCGTCTCGTCGTCGTCCCTCCTATTTCGTCGCCGTCGTCGTCGTCGTCGTTGTCGTCGTCGTCTTCCCTCCTCCCTTGTCGTTGCCGTCGTCGGCGTCGCCGTCCTTCCTCCTTCTTCGTCGTTCGCGTCGTCGCCGTCCTCCCTCTTCCCTCGTCGTTGTCGTCGTTGTCGCCGTCGTCGTCCTCCTTCCTTCCTCGTTGTCTTCGTTGGCGACGTCGTCGTCGTCTTCGTCGTCGTCGTCGGCGTCGGCGTCGTTGTCGTCTTCGTCGTCGTCGACGTCGTCGTCGTCGTCGTCGCCTACGTCGTCCTCTGTCTTTCCTCGTGTTCGTCGTCGTCGTCCTCTTTGGCGTCGTGGTCGTTTCCGTCGTCGTTGTCGCCGTGGTCGTCCTTCCTCCTCCTCCCTCGTCGTCGTCGTCGTCCGTCGTCGGCGTCTCGTCGTCGTCCCTCCTATTTCGTCGCCGTCGTCGTCGTCGTCGTCGTTGTCGTCGTCGTCGTCTTCCCTCCTCCCTCGTCGTTGCCGTCGTCGGCGTCGCCGTCCTTCCTCCTTCTTCGTCGTTCGCGTCGTCGCCGTCCTCCCTCCTCCCTCGTCGTTGTCGTCGTTGTCGCCGTCGTCGTCCTCCTTCCTTCCTCGTTGTCTTCGTTGGCGACGTCGTCGCCGTCTTCGTCGTCGTCGTCGTCGGCGTCGGCGTCGTTGTCGTCTTCGTCGTCGACGTCGTCGTCGTCGTCGTCGTCGCCTACGTCGTCCTCTGTCTTTCCTCGTGTTCGTCGTCGTCGTCGTCCTCTTTGGCGTCGTGGTCGTTTCCGACGTCGTTGTCGCCGTGGTCGTCCCTCCTCCTCCCTCGTCGTCGTCGTCCGTCGTCGGCGTCTCGTCGTCGTCCCTCCTATTTCGTCGCCGTCGTCGTCGTCGTCGTCGTTGTCGTCGTCGTCTTCCCTCCTCCCTCGTCGTTGCCGTCGTCGGCGTCGCCGTCCTTCCTCCTTCTTCGTCGTTCGCGTCGTCGCCGTCCTCCCTCCTCCCTCGTCGTTGTCGTCGTTGTCGCCGTCGTCGTCCTCCTTCCTTCCTCGTTGTCTTCGTTGGCGACGTCGTCGTCGTCTTCGTCGTCGTCGTCGGCGTCGGCGTCGTTGTCGTCTTCGTCGTCATCGACGTCGGCGTCGTCGTCGTCGCCGCCGTCGTCGTCGTCGTCGTCGTCGTCGGCGGCGTCGTTGACGTCGTCGTCGTCGTCGTCGTCGTCCGTCGTCGGCGTCTCGTCGTCGTCGTCGTCGTCATCGTCGTCGTCGGCGTCGGTGTCGTCGTCGTCGTCGTCGGTGTCGTCGTCGTCGTCGTCGTCGTCGTTGTCGGCGTCGTCGAAGTCGTAGGAGACGTCGGTGTCGTCGTAGTCGTTGTCGGCGGCGTCGTCATCGTCGTTGTCGCTGTCGTCGTTGGCGTTGCTGTTGTTGCCAAGTGCCATGTGGTACCCACCGTCACGGTCTTAAGAGATTTTGCAAACCAAGTTGCGGGTGGGTGGGTGGGATGTTTGCGCGAGCAGTGGAGTGGACAATTCACTGCGAACAGAAATTAACTGCACCACATAGACTGCACCACGTCGTGTCGTTCCACAACAGATGCACCATAGCGCACCACTAAAATTGTTCCACGTCGACTCCACAACATAGATTGCCAGAAACACCCGGTTTGGGGTCCGCGCTGGCTAGCACCTTAGATATCTATGCATACGCGCAAACGTGTCCGCCGCGCCTGGGGAGCGCAGGGTGGGGGGGGTGCAGGGCCCTACCGGGGCCACCTCACAAGGTACATGCGCTGTTTTTTTCTTAAGGGGGGGGGGCCTGCGGGCTCCCAGGGGTTTCCGAGGGGCAGACTGGGGAGAAGCAGGAAAAGGAGGGCCGGAGGTCAGGAGGAGAAGGAGGAGGAGGAAAAAGAATCGGGGGGATCACGAGTGTCAGAAGACTATCGGCCTCGGCACTAGCACTGCACAGGGCGAAAACGGGAGAGGATTGAAAGGAGGAGGAAAATGATGGTGTTGGGGAAAGGAAGGAGGAGAAAGGAGAGAATGAGGAGGCAGAGAACGAGGAGAACGAGGCGGAAGGCAAAGCGCAGGAGAGGAGGGTCAGGAAGATTAGGGAGGACGGAGGGGAGTGGGAAAAGAAGGAGGATGTGCAGGATGACGAGGAGGAGGGGGGGAGGAGGAGGACGACGACTACGACGACGAAACGGGCGAGGAGGAGGAGGGAGGAGGAGGAGAAGGAGGGCGAAGCGGAGGAGGACGAGGAGGAGGAGGAGGAGGAAGAGAACCGTACAACGCGCCACCTTCTTGGGTGTTAGCAGGGATACAGCCGCCAGGTCTTTGCTATTGTCACAGCAGGTCCCTCCGCGGCGACTCTCAAGGAGAAAGGGGACGCATGCCACAGCACCATTTCCCCAACCCTGGGCTGCCACGACAATGTATTGGAGTCTAGCCTGACGGGTTGTCGTAGCGAAGCCTCCCCTCTCCCCCCTGCCCCTCGCCTTCTGCTCGCGTTCCACACGTCCTCACGCAGGGGGTACGCCTGCGTAGGCAGGACAACACACACACGACCTCTCAGCTCGGGGGTGGCCAAAGGTCGTCCTGCCCCCCCCCCCCCGCGCCCTAGTCACAGGGGCCTCCTTTCAAATGTGGACTGTGTAATTCCCGAGAGCCTGAGCTGAGCGGTAGGGTCTGAACATGCACTCCCCAGACAGCTGGCGCGCCATTTTTGTTGATGCGTGGAGCCCGAGAGGTCTGGACAACTTCCCCAGGGCTTGTTCTTCATCCTGAGTGCTTCGTTGACAGTCCTGGGGCCCGTCGAGGGCCCCCAGAGGCCGAAAATTGCGAAACGTAGGCCGCGCCAATTTTTCCGGGGTCTCGGGTCTTTGGGTCAGGAGCCCCACGTGGATGAACTCCGCGAATCCCCTCCCCCCCCCATGGTTAACCGTTCCCTCCCCTGCCCGGTTTTCATTAACCTCCTGGCATTTCTGCCCCCCCACCCTTTCCCTTCGTCGACGCCCGCCCGAGAGGCCGTCGCGGCCCTCGACAACCTGGGGCGGCTCAGCCCGTGCCTGGAAGACAGGGCCGCTCGACCCGACACCCTTCTCGCGAAGCTGCGGTCCGCCCTCCTCCTCCTCCTCCTCCTCCTCCTCCTCCTCCTCCTCCTCCTCCTCCTCCTCCTCCTCCTCCTGCCCATCCTCCACCACAATTCCTCCCTCCTCCTTCCTCCTTCCTCCCTCCTTTTTTTTGCGCCCGCTCGAGCAGCTCCTCCCGGGGGCGGGAGCCGGCGCCAGCGCGCCCCTCGCGCCGCCCTCCCTCCCGCGCCCCCCCCCCCCTCCCCCCCTCCCTTCTCGCCCCGCCCGCCCTGGATCCGCCTGCCGCGGGGCGGCGTCGCCGTCCGCCTCGCTCCTCCGCCGACCGCCGAGCCCAAGACCGGCGCGCGGAGGCCCCGGGCGGCGGAGCGTCTGCCGCTCTGCGTGGCCGAGCCCGCTCGACACCGAGGCCGCCAGCCTTCTCGACCGGCGGCAGCTGTGGGAGCAGCGCTGCGCGAGTCCTTCGGCACCGATGCGGGGGCGACTCTGTAAGAACGGTTTTTTGAAGGCAGATCTGCCTTCAAAAAACCATTTTTTGAAGGCAGATCTGCCTTCAAAAAACCGTTCTTACAGAGTAGCACCGCCTGGAGAAGGTCCTGACGCTGTCGCGCACGTGGGCAACGACTACCGGAGCCGCGTCAAGACAGAGAAGCGCCAAGCACGTGAGCACACAGACGTACCTCCCTTTCTGTCCCTTGGCACTCTGAGGTCCTCCGGCCCTTCTCCATTTTTGCCCCGTGGCTTTCCACTTCCACAGGGGAGGCATGACGTCAGTTCATTTGCGCGCCACTTGGCCCATTGGACTACCTCGAGTCCGCCTCCTCCTCTTCACTCCCTTCAGTGTCTCGTCCGCACACAGTATCTCAGTCGCCTTCGGGTGCTGCCGATATTTCTCCTCCTTCCCCCAAGGGGTCCCCCTGTTCCGGAACACCGCACTCACCGGTGGCTCCACAGCACAATTCGACGGCGGCACTGCTTGAGGCTACTCCCTTCTTGCCGCCAGTTGAGCAGCCCTCCACGCCAATGGGGTCTTTGAATCCACCCGCGCATATTTATCCTCCACCCCAGCCTCTTCTTCGGACGCCAGTTCCCTCCCCCCTTCCGCAGACGCCCGTCGCCGCCCTTTCCTGGCAGCAGGCTCAGCAGGGGCCCAGGGCCTCAGCCGACAGGCCTTCCTCTTTCACTGCCTCCGCGAGGATTCTCTCCGAGTTCGCGCCCCCTGCCTTGCCGAAGCCAAACCAGGCCAAGTCATCCCAGGAACAGCATGAGGCGTACCATCAGCATTTGCGAGAGATTCATTGCGCAGTGCATCCAGGGAACACAGTCCTGATGGATCGAGTCGCAATCCGAGCTTATAGCTTCTACTGGACTCCCGCTTACAACGGGCTCTGCTTGAAGATAGCCCGCAAATGCTCTATTTCAGTCTCCCCGTCTTTTTCTTCCACTCTTTGAACCGATGGATTGGCCTATCCGTCCCTCGCTTCCTTGCGTCTGATTCCGGTCCTCAAGGCCTTTCTTCTCAGTTTCTTCGCGTCCGCGCATTCTCCTCCCAAGGTCTGCTCAGCCGCACTGCAGGCACAGAGACATCTCCGGACTCCCGTTCGAAGCCCACAAGGGTCTCGGCTTCTACTCCAGCAGTTGCCCTACTGGGCGACCCACTGGACGACCCCCTGCAGATGCATCCGCTCACGCAGATGCTGGTACGGTTCGGTCAGGCCTCATCCTCTATTTGTGCACTGCCTTCCTGTCTCCTCGGGCCCTCCCCTCATCCTCAGTAGTTTCTGTAGGTACACAGCGCCGGACGATGGAGCCAGGTGACGCAGATTCCGTGGCCCTGTATGTCTTGTGTTACTCCAGACTGCGTTTCTCAGCCCTCATCCCCTCTTCCAATGCTCAGAGGCGTTTGGCGCGAGCGGTCCTCCATCAGTTCCGTGCTTCGCTCCGTGATATGTTCTGTTCGGCACACCGCGCTATGGCACAAAAAAGCTGCGATACCAGGTCAGATAGTCATTATCTTCACGTCTTTGGCTGTAAAGTCTCATTCGCTTTAATCTTGGGTAGGGGAAAGTGTTTTGTTGTTGTTTTCTGTATTTCTCTCTCTCTCTCTCTCTCCCCCTTTCTGAGCCAACCTTCCTCCTCTCCCTTCTCTGGAGGCGTCGGGTAAAACGCGTTTGGGGCAACAAGCCGTATCTGGTCCCTTCCTCACTTTTCTTTCCTCGAGCTCCCCTCTCCTCCCCTCGTCTGAGGTCCTTCCCCCCCGGATCTCAGACAGCCAGGGTCCATAATCTTGCTGCGCAGCAGCACCCGCTACACCGCGGAAGGTCCGTTATTTGCTGCAGTTCCTTCCTCCGGCGAGCAGGCCTGCAGCTTAGCAGGCGCACTTCCAGAAGGTGACCCCTCTCTTCCTCCACTGCTCAACTCTGGAGGAGCCAACGAGCACAAACTGCATTTCCCATCTTCTCCTCTTCTTCGCTGTCCTTTTCCCCCACAACCTCGGCAGGTACACCTTCGGACGGTGGTTCCCATTCTCCTCGTGTCCCATGTCGGAGGACTCCCTGGCCTTCTATGTATCGTCGTACCCCAGATTGCGTTTCTTAGACTTCGCCCCCTCCTCCACTGCTCAGCGGCGTTTGGCGAGAGCGGTTTCCCACCGGTTTCGTGCGTCCCGTCGTGATAATATTACCGCTTGGCGCAGCGCATCACTGCGCAAGAAAGCCGCGATGCCGGGCCAGAGATTCACTCTTTTCACGACTGTCGCAGCAAAGTCTCACTCGCTCTTCCCTGCTGGGTGGGGGCGGGTGCAGCATTGGGGGAGGAGGGATCGTCCCAGGCGGGACCAGGTATGGCCACCTCGATTGTCGAGGCCAGGCCATGTCCTATTCAGTGCGGGACGGTCGCAAAGGAGAGGCTCTGTTTGGTCGCGAGCCTCGCCAATGGCATGGTTGCCCCAGGCCGCGGCTGAGCCGCGGCCTGGGGGCCGACACCTTGTTGCGCGGTTCGGCTGTGCGGAGTGTTGCTGGACCGTGACGGCGGGAATCCATCGCCTGCCCCATCGTCCTTGTCCGCCAGCCCTCATTCGTTTCTGCCTTCCCACCCCCTGGCCCGCCTGGCCCCAGGTAGCTGCGCCTTTTCAGGTGTCTTTTGGCGCATAGTTGCTGTCTGCTGTCGCAGACAGAACGCTTACGCTTGCCCTGGAGGGCAGCGAGCCGCCTTTGGCTCTGTTCCCCCCCACTCCGAATCCTCTTCGTAGCAGAAGGGAACCTTTCCCCTCCGTCTGCTTCATTCTAGCGGAGGCCACCCTGCATCTGGGAAGTTTCCAACACGGCGCCAGTGCTGGAGGGGGACGTGGCAGCAGTCTCTCGGTCGGCAGCATCTAGTCGTGGCACCCCTACCCGCGCCTTTGCGCTATGACGGCGTACGATCGGTATAACACCTGGCCGAGTCCCCAAAAAGTCAGCCACTCTTCCTCCCCCTTCTCTTCTCGCCTCTTCTCTTCTCTTCCCTGCCTCCCACCTCCTCCCTCTCCTCCTTCCTCCCTCCTTCTCTTGCCTCCACGCCCACCTTGCGTTGCCTCCCCCCCCCCTCGTATGGTCCTGGGACGCCGTCCGCGACCCGGCCCTCTGGGAGCAGCTCGGCCGCCTCGGCTGCGAGGGCGCCGACGAGACGACAGGCCGCCTGCTGCCTGCTTGACTCTCCCCCCTTGCGAAGACGCGGGATTGTTTCCCAGCCCCATCCTTTGTCAAGGGCGGAAAACCACCCCGACCCCACAATTGGCGTTTACTAAACGGCCCTGGGCGTTTACTGAACAGCCCTGCCCTGGTTCGACCCCTCCCCTAGGAGCGGTTTCACCAAAAGGCTTCGCATGTCGGAGTGCTCATGAGGAGGGTGCTTATTGACGCGTCCTTTGCCTACGCGTCGTCAGGACGCCCTACCAGGCAGCCCCGTCTGGTCTCGACACGGCCCCTCAGTAGTTCAGGGCGGTCTCTGCACCCTGGCGCCGCATTGGCGGTGCCCGCTGGGGCGTTCCGCCCTGGACATCTCGGGGGGGCCTGTTGGGGGTAGCTGGGACCACCTGGGGAAGGGGGGGGCTGTCCACGCGCAGCCCGAAGCCTTACCTTCCCCCGTCTGCGTGCCCAGACTTCCTCGCATCTGGACCACAATCACGACGGGAGGGTTGTGCCGAGTGGCGGTTTCTGGGGGGCTCTGGCGGGGCCTCGGGGAAAAGTGGGCCTGGGGCAAGGGGGGCGAGACCTCTGGGGCCCACGCTGTGAGCAATCTTTGCCGTCGAAGGTTTGGTTGTCTTTGTTCTCCTCCCACTCGTCCCCCTCCTCCTCCTGCTCCTCCTGCTCCTCCTCCTCCTCCTGCTCCTCCTGCTCCTCCTCCTCCTCCTCCTCCTCCTCCTCTCGTCCTCCTCCTCTTGCTCCTGCTACTCCTCCTCCTCGCCGCATCTCCTCCTCCTCGTCCTCCTCCTCCTTTTCCTCCTTCCCCTCTCACTCGTCGAATTAATTCATTATCCTCCTCCTGCATCTCTTCCTCCCCGCGTCTTGCTCTGCTGTGCCTTCGGCTGGCCCCCATCGTCGCCCTGGCGGAAGCGCGGCTGCGAAAACGGGAGGCCAGGATGGACTCCGAGAGGGGTCCGGGAGCCGCTTTGAGCGGAGCTTTGTCGGACCACGAGCGCCTTGAAAAGAACATCAGAAGGCGAAAACCCACCCCCACCCCCAGTCCAGACTCTCATCCCCGAACACACAATCCAGGGGGTCGGGATTGGGGGCTGGGGGCGTTTTCTTTATTCTTGGACACCGAAAAGCCATCCCCACCCCCAGACCCGACTCCCTGGATCGCGGGTTCGGGGATGGGGTCGGGGCTGGGGGTGGGGGTGGCTTTTCGCCTTCCCAGAACAGGGGGTCCGCGGGCGTCCCATCGATTCTGTCAGAAGAATGCAGGCCCGAAGCGGCCCCCGGAATGATAGAAAGCAGCCGACCGCCCGTGGCGAGCAGGCAGAATTACGAACAGTGGGGCTCGAGAGCTCTGGGCTCCGCGAGTTAACGACTCACGATGTCGCAGATCTGCGGAGGCGCCAGGCGCATGGACGATTCGCGGCGCGTCGACGCGGCGACGACGCCGATGCGGGCTTCCGTGCTGCCTGAACCAGGTAAACATTGAACGGTTTCCGCCGTCTGCTGGCGGAGATCTCCAGACACTGATCGTTGTGCGTGGTGCCCGAAAGGAGCGACCACGTCGTCACGACGGGAGCAAGCCGCACATGCATTGACACACCGCTGCTGGCTGGGCTTTGCCCAGGAGCCAGGATCGGTTCTGGTTCCCTCCTGACTCCTGGCCGGGGTGGCGTACACACAGGGTCTGAGCCCAGCGAAAGACTGGCAAGGGTCGTCGGAGCCAATGCGTGCGTGTATCGCGTCGAGGTGATAAGACAACGACGTGCGTATATGGCACGTGTATGAACAGGTGGCGTCGTCCGAGTCATCCTCCAT